GGAGCTTTATGGTAGCTTAAAAACATCTAAATGAGAAATATATTGAAGGGAATCGACGAGTTGCATGGTCAACTTAACGAGTCAGAGGAAGATTGGCCATTGTTGGTTTCTGCATGGACTCGGCGAGTCAGTGAGACGACTCGACAAGTTAGTTAAGGTTTTCCCGACGTTTAGACATAGCATGGACTCGACGACTTACCTAGAAACTCGACGAGTCAACCACGGTTTTCACGATGTCTTGTGTTCTGTAAGGATTCGACGAGTCAATGGGATACACTCGACGAGTTGGGTCAACATGGATTGTTGACCTTGACCGTTGACTTTGACTTTAACCAAGGGTTACCAGTTTGACTTTTGAGGGTATTTTAGTAATTTAGCAATTTATGAAAGTGAATCATTGGTGGATGTAGGTGCTTAAGTTGGAGCTACATTTGGGAGTTTTATATTAATCATCCCGAGCTACTTATGAGGTGAGTTGTCCTCACTATACTAACAGGGTCGAAGGCACCAATGCTGGCCCTTTTCGAATTTGTATCCGGGTTTATTACAGGATATGCTTATTCATTTGCATCCTATTAGTTAGGATGTTGACATGTTTAGTGACCTTGTAGGTCAGTATCCTGGTATATAGGATAATGCTATGTTAGTGACCGGTTAGGTCAGTATCCTGGTTATAGGATGTTGCTATGATTAGTGATATATTAGATAGGTTTGACTGTTATATATGCTAGCATATGATATTTATGTGCACATGATTGTTTGATTGGGAGTTGGGTTTAGGCGGACCTGGTTTGTGCTGAAGGCCAACAAACCCAAGGCAGACTGGATAGACTGCTGGCCACTCAGGGCTTATTAGTCAGACCGAAGGCCTGACGAGAGGCCCCGATAGGCTGAAGGCCTTGAGAGGCGGTCCAGACGTGTCGATGGCTCGGAGAGCAGTCCAGATAGACCGATGACCCTACGAGGCGGTCCATTCAGGATGATGGCTCATTATGCATGTTTTTTATGTGTTGTTATGTTATAACTATGATTTGTATGCCATTGGTATTTTGGGGGAACTCACTAAGCTTCGGGTTACAGTTGTTGATTATGTTTTAGGTACTTTTGATGATCACATGAAGGTGAAGGCGTGATCGTGCAACACCTTATGTTTTTATGATTTGATTCTGGGATACTCTGAAACTAAACCATTTTAAAAACAAATTTGTAATAAATATTGGCTTCTGAATGATTTAAAAAGTTTTAAATTGGTTTCATTTTTATGGGTGTTACAATATATATATATATATATATATATATATATATATATATATATATATATATATATATATATATATATATATATATATATATATATACTAGTTGTGTGCCAGCGCAAAGCGGCGACAAAAAATAGTTTCCGGACAGTGATTCATTTATTTCGGTGAATAGTTTTCTTACGGCTATCAGATCAAACCATAAAATCCTTTAAGTATAACCAAGTTACAATATTGATAATTTTTCGTTTTTACAATCCTCAAACAATGATAAATCCATTTATGTGTTATTTCCTTGCAAATTGCAATTAATCACTGATTCATAATGTTAACATCTAGTAACCTTAACTTGTTTCAAAACTTTGACCAGTTTAGTGGGGTGTAATTCAATCTGAACGTTTTTTTTCAATATATTTTAAATCTTTGTTGTAGTGCTAAAACCATTTTAATTTATAAAGTTAACGTAGATATTTATGTATTTATTTGTTTATTATCTCATTTTTACTTTGATTTTTTAACAATGTATTTTTCAAATTTTTTATCATTACCTCTCCGAAAAATCATATGGTGTGAAGACAACCACTGGAACGTATCTCACTCATATTTAAAATTTACGACCTGGTAGATATACAAACATCATGATACAATGGTTATAGACTTGATAACAAATACTGATTTTAAAATGCTTCGTTTGCTTAAAAAAATATTTATAATAAAATGGGGACCAGTATTCACTAATTAGGTAATCAAGGTATATTATTTAAAAAAAACATTAAATTATATACCACAGTTACTTTGGGTTAAAACATTACTCTTAAAAATTATTAATTTGTTTTTTTTTTCTCGTACTACTTTATGCCACTCCCAAATTCTCTATTAAAAAGATGGTAATAATCAATTCTCTTCATCGCGACTAAATATTTAAAATAATTTTAATTTCATTACTTTACCTTGAAACACCACACAAATAAAGGAAGTAAGGTAAAATAGTTAGTTTTTAAAATCCAACACATAAGTTTTAAATAAAAAAAGAAAGGTAAAATAATTACCTTTTAAAAATAGTGTACTAAAACTATCAGGAGAATAATAAAATAAAGAATAGAGAAACCCAAATTTAAAAGATTTGGAATTAAGAATTGTTATTTTTGAAGTCATTTTCTACAATGGAGATATGACTCCTGGACATACAGCTCCGTAAAGAAGAAAAGTCAATAAAGGTCAATATAAAGGCCCTATAAAAACAAAAACTGCAACAGAGGTAAAGATGACGCTTAAAGTTAAACTAAATTTGGTTGATTTCACTTTTTTTAAGCAAATTTTGCTCTTTTTAGCCACCATCCTTCTTGATATCCCAACTATTCTTGATTTCTGCAAAAGAAAACGAAGAAGTCGAGATAAGTGGCCAAAACATGGAGAAGAAATGGCGGTGGATGGTTTCTAGATCTAACTTAGCCAATATTCTGAATTGGATAGTACCATTAAAATCCTAGATGCTTATTAAAAATCAAAACAAACAAAATCTAACAATACAAACAAATGGTAAAAATGGAAAGATGTTTTACTTTGTTTTTGTGTTAAAAAAGATTCTTACCATATGCCTTCTTAGACAGATGACAGAATTCCACATAAAAATCTAAAGCCATCTCTAGCTTGACAAAATTAAGAATGTAATTGTTGAGAAATTATGACAACCTGAAATGTCTATTTGAAACTCAGTTCAATGAATCAAATGTCAGACTCGTTTCTACTATATGTTACTGTGTTTTGAGTCAGTTTTAGGGTCTCTAAGCCTAGTGCACTCAACGGTTGAATGTTGGAAAGGGTTACCTTTGTATCAATAGTTTGCACTCGAGCCTGGAACACCTTCAAAGGTGGTTCACGACCGCAAACTATATTCACGGCCGTCGACCCATGCTTGGGCCGTGAACCACCCTCCATATATATATATATATATATATATATATATATATATATATATATATATATATATATATATATATATATATATATATATATATATATATATATGGGTAAAGTGAATATACCTAACAACCTTATATAAGCTTAGGTACCTAACCACATCATACTACGTAATTTTGTATCATATTTGCATTGTAATCACCCAAAGTTCTTAAAATTCAGCCTCATAACTTGATTGTTTCCAAAATCTTTGAACTTTCACCATTATCTTCCTTCAAATGACGTCATTCTATCGGAGACCCCCTGGTGGGCTTCATATAGTACCGTTACAAATCAAATGGTGTAGGAAGAATATAATGATGAATATCTGAACATCTTGGAACACTACTAGAAAACAGTCCTTTAATGACGCGCAAACAATGACACGCGGTGATTTACGATACGCAAAAGCGTGTGCCCTAAAAATAATGTTATCTCTTCTAAAATTTGAAGGATAATGGACACGCTTTTATGCGTTCCCTAAAATTAATGTCGAACAAAAAAAAACACGGAGGGCACTTATTTAAAAATGGGTGTCGTCTAGAAATGTCGCTTTATATTTTTTGAATGAAAGGCGCGTTCTCTTCTTTTGCAGCTGGGGGGAAACGAAAATCCCAAAAGTTTGAAAGGCCGCCATTGTTACCCTCTGCCTTATTTCCATCGTTCTTCTCTCTCTCTCTATCTCTCTCTCTCTCTCTCTCTCTCTCTCTTTCTCTCTCTCTCTCTCTATCTCTCTCACTCTAATACCCAAAAAAACCCTAATAACATCACCAATCCTCTTTTTTCCCACAACAGAATCACAATATGATCCCGTCTTTTGAACAGATCAAACCCACAGGGGTTCTCGGCGAAAGAGATACCGCTTCATACGAGCCCTAATTTCTCATCTGAATTTGTTAACTTCTTCAAATGGTTCTCAGACTTTTTTCTCTCTCTACATTTTCTTCTCCTTCATTTCTCGATCCATAGAAGGTCAGGAGAACACTGCGTCTGCAATCAGATTGCTAGGTCGTAATCCTGAGAGCGTTGAACGCCGGTGTATGCTCGGTGTTTAAGGTCCCATGAAAGAGTAAGCAGTTGTCGCCTAGGCTATATTGTTCGATTAACACAATTCATCAAACCCTAGAATCGTAAAGGAAACCTAGCCCCCATAGCTTTCTTCACACTTCACCTCCTCAAATCTCACCTCATGCTCTTATAGTTCTCTGTTTTTTGTGACTCGTTACAAGGAGGTTCTTTTTCATTTCTCTTCAATGTTCGATATGTTTGATGCTACTTTAGATCATCAAGATAAGGACAAGTTGAATATCGAGAGGTAATTTAATGGGCGTGAAGCTCTAAATGTGATTGTGTGTGAAGGAATGGAATTGAGCATTCCTCCCCCTAGGATAATTCCCCTAGCCATGGCCTTCTTCACTCCAAACCAGGTATGAACATATATTTATGTGTATATATGTAAGTTAATTCATCGATGGTTGATTAGGTGTGTTTATGTTTTCAGTTGATACATATTAATGCTTATTTGATCAAGGAAGTGGCAGGAACTTACAAAATGGTTCCTGTGTTAACCATGTTTAGTCAAAAATTGAATTCTTTTACAGTTTTAGTCCTTGGAACCTTGAAATAAATACTAAAATTGAAATGAAACCTTGAAATTAGGACCATAACTGAAAAATGCACCAACTTTGGACCAAATATGATAAACATCAGAAAGCACATAGACCATTTTTGTAATGTACTCTAATTTTAGGTTGCAAGGGCATTTCAGGCAGCGCCTAAACCTCTATGTTTGAAGATAGAGTTTCACTTCTACGTTATGCTTTGCAAAGGGCTTTTCAGGCAGCACCTAACCGGCTTATGACTAACAATGCCTACCTGGATTTATTCGGCGCCTCGGTATGACTTCATATTCAGTATTGTATATATGAATTTTTTTCCCCTTTTAACAAACTAAAAAATAGTATCTTTTTGTACCAGTTAAATGCATCCACAATAGATGAGGGACTAAACTTCTATAAGTCACAACATCGCTTTGAGCACTCATAACTTCTGTTGGTTCTTTTGAGTTCACTTCCACATGCGCCAAAGACTTTTCAGTGTCGCGTATTACAGGTACTGTTGTTTCCATTTCTACCCTTGTCCCTAGAAAATGTATATTGTATATTTACTTCTCTATTTGATTTCAGGATCTTTTGATTTTGGCTTGCAGTCATGCTGTTTCCATTTATACCCTTGTCCCTGGGGAGTATCCTTATATTCTTATACTCATTTCTCATCTTCTATATATAATTTTATTAGCTTTTCTATCTTTCTGCAGTTATATTTGGTCGATTGGATCCAGGAGAAAAACTCGTTATAGGTTGTCGAAAAGCAACAATTTCTGCTGAAACACAGGTATAATTCTTTTAACACACACATACATACATACATTTATGCATGTATTATGTTAATGAGTGAATCTCTATGAAAAAAACAAGCAGAAAGGTGAAACAGAAGCTGTCAATGGTGTAATATTTTAAGGTGAGCTCTGATCTTATTATTACAACTCAACAAAGATATGAATTCAAATAAAACTAAAATTAAAATTAAAATTGATTTTATAGGATGCAAAGTCGGATCGATTGAAGCAACTATTGAAAGAGACCGAGAAGTATCTCCAGAAGTTTGGATCAGCAGAGCCTTTGAAGCAGATAATGGTCTAAATGATAATAGTGAATTTACTATTGAGAATGAAGATGAAACAGATTAGGCCAAGGTATGTTCTATCTTTTGTTACTTTACACTCTTATAACCTTTGTTTGACTTTTAATATCTTATTAATAAATATTTTGGCTTCTACAACATTACATGGAGAGCAATGAAAAGTACTATTTGATGTTTCATAAATACTTCATTAACTTTTTTATTTCCTTGTATGTTATTGCTCTTGGCTTTAATCAGTTGTTTTATTTTTTCAAACTCATCATCGGTTAAATGTTGTAGTGTCAAAGAACTTCTAGCAGATGAAATGTGCTTGGGGAAAACTGTTCAGGTAGTATGAGGTATAGGTGGGCAAAAGAATTAGTCCAAATTGATCCTAAAAATATGTATATGAACTAAATTGGTCCTGGACCAGTCTTGGATTGTTCAGTCTGGACAGAAGTCCTGCTCTGTCCTTCAAAATGTTACACATGGCAGTCCAAAACCGATCCTAAACAGGTCCAAAATTAAACTGGTCCAAAAACAAACCAGTCTCTTTTAGATCGAATCTAAACTGTGAAGGAGGTTTGTTCTATGCCTCTATTCTACCCCAAATTCTATTGTTTTCATGATAAACAAACCCCATTTCTTTTAAAGGTAAGTTTTCAAAGATCAAGGGTGTAGGAGTCTTTGGTAATGATGCACAGGATACAAATATTCCAGTAGAAGTGTGGAGATACTATTTTCTAACTAATAGACCAAAGGTGTAACTTTTATTCAGTATATAAATTAAAAATGTGATCTCTCACTTTTTTTCTTGTTTCCTTCTCTTTCATTGATTATTGGGTTTACTTGTGTAGGTATCAGACATATTATTCACATGGACAGATCTTCAATCAAAACTCAACACTGAGTTGCTGAATAATTTAGGCAATTTCATTAACCGTGTCTTGAGATTTATTTCTAAAGATCCAGGTTAGTAATTGGCACCAATTTAACCTAAATTAATGGGATTAAGATTTTAAGGGTGCAATTTACATTATTTTCTACTTTCATGCCCCAAACCCTAAACCCTAAATGCTAGGTTCTTTTTGCACTACTATCTTATCTTTTTTACTTGAAAGTGGTATGAAGTGAATATTTGGATATGATGTTGAAGATTGATTATTGGTGATTTTTTGATTGAGTCTGAAAAGTTTTGTTTCTGTTGACAGATTCAAGAGGTGGTAGAGGTTCAGGATAAAATTCCATCATTCTGGATGCTCCATCTATTATCAAACACACTAGGAGATAAAATTGGTGCTTATGTGGAACAATATGTGGAGACACAGCTATAGCAGGTCAAGTTGCTGCACTTGTCCTTTGCCACACCAGAGAACTAGCTTATCATGTCATATTTTCATTTGTAACCCTCCAACAATCTGAAAATGTTAATTTTCACCCATGTCTTACTCTTTGTATCTTGGGTGAGATTTGTTGCAGAGAACTATCTTATCAGGTAACTAGCTTTCTCATTTCTATAAATTATACAAGATTGTATCTCATGCAAAATATTTATAATGTATCTGTTTTTTATTGTTGAACAAAGGAAGGATACCCTTCAATATGATATCCTTGTTCAAATAATTGAGATTTATAACGAGCAAGTTCGGGATACCCTTCAATATGATATTCTTTTCATTTAATAAATTTTCTCATCTCATTAAATGAAATCTTTGCACCAAATCTTCTTGGTTGGTTTCCGGTTGATCAAAATAATTTTTCGTTTTTCATACTGCTGATTTTGATCCTATTCAAGAGTCTTGGGTAATGAGTTTCATTAGAGTTTTTTACAAATTTTCTTTTCATGCATATGCCTCCAACAAAGCCACTTAGTGAAATGATGCCATTCTAATACGTGTAAATCTTGTAGAAGCAAAGTGTTACTTTTTCTCTTTGAGGGAATAATAATATTCACTGATATTATGATATATGATGTTGCCTTCTCAGGAACTGAAGTCAATGTAAGTCAAAACATGAGAAATATATAAGATCTACAAGAAAAAATTACTGATAGATGTGTCTGGATGGCTTCATCAATACATAAGGGTAAAGAAGAAGGTGATGTGATGATTAACTGATTACTAAAACTTTTAACATTCTTTTAACAGAAATGCTAATACATTTTGGGTGTTATTTGGTGAATCTTTGTTAGGCATGTGCTATATCAACTGATGAAAAATATGTTAATTTATATCTCCATCATTATACACGTAAGATTGGTGAAAAACAAGGACAACAATGAAATCAAGGGTTTTTGTATTAATTTGTAGCAATCAGGCATCCATGGAATCAATTCACGACTCTTTTGTTAAGGCATTGGTTAATTTGACAAAGGAGGTAGAGTTTCCTTTCTTTTCATTATGTTATACATTTTGGATGATAAATGTCTATATTACCCTTTGATCTCATATGTTTTTTTTGGTGCAGTGTGAAAAATTATGGTCAAAAGTGTATGTTGTCTGGCCTAAAAGCAGAACTAGAAGCATTAAGACGAAGGCACTCTAATGTACTGTAGTTGATGGGTGAAAGAGATGAGGAGGTAAAATTACCTTTTCAATGTGAGTTGCTGCATCTTTAGCCTTACTTACAGTTCTGACTTCTGACTTCACTTATATACCTCTATGTGGTGTTTATAGAGAATTATCCATATGCTCACACAAATTTTTGTAGCCGATTACACATTAATTTAATTATGCAGGTTTTGAAGTTTTTGATGGAAAAAAATAGTGTTAATGCTCTTCATAGAAAAGTATGTTGGTATTTTAGGAAATTTGGCTAATAATTTAGTTAATTATATAAAAAATGTTGAAATGTTACATTTGTCTACTATTGGAATGATTATTTGTATTACATTAACTTTTGTGCAATGTATTGTATTTTTTGTATATGATATTTTATTCTCTATTATGAGACATAAAATACAAATTTAATTTGAAAATCAGTAAATCTATAATTATTTTTTTTTTAAAAAAATTCAAATTACGAAACGCAAAAATGTGTGTCATGTTCATTTATGACATGGCCTTTCTTGACACGGGCTTCCTTGATACGCATTATGTATCATAAACACGCGCGTCGTAAGGTTACGACACGCAAATGCGTGTCATCTTCCTTTATGATAGGGCCTTCCTTGATACACATTGTGTGTCATAACCGCACGTCGTAAATGCGCGTCGTCTCTCTTTATGACATGGCCTTCCTTGACGCGCATTTGCGCGTCGTCTGAGCGTTTTACGACGCGCAATGAGCATCGTAAAAGGCTGTTTTTCTAGTAGTGGAAGTAAATCAAGTTAAGGGTTGAAGTTTAAGAACCTTAGATGATTATAATGGAAATATAATGCAAAACAATGTAGTATTGTGGTTAGGTACCTAAGCTTATATAAGGTTGTTAGGTATATTCACTTTACCATATATATATATATATATATATATATATATATATATATATATATATATATATATATATATATATATATATATATATATATATATATATATATATATGGGATTCACTTATTTTCTCCTCACTTCTTCAAGATCCAGCCATGAACATCCCCATTCACTCTCAACTATCTTCAACCGTGATCACCCCTAAAGGCCACAAAACATAAGTATTTCATCCCTTTACTTGTTCATGCTTAGAAACCCCTTTGTTCTAGCCTTGATTCATCGCTTTTCATCACCATCTTCAAGATCTTCAAGAGTTCACGACCGTGAACCCTTAATAAGATCTTGGGCCGTGAACCCTTGTAAGACCGTGAACCCTTCTTAGATGTAAGATTGTTCACAAACGCATCATGTGTTGTATGGCCGTGAACCCTCCCAAGGCCGTGAAGACTCCTTGTTTGGCCGAGAACTCCCTTCAATCAATCATTCATGGTTCCAACACTTCATAGAAAGTGTTTCCTAGTTCCTAAGGCTGCTTCCTTGACATGTTAGTTGCTATATACACTAATTGTATACAGATATGTGATATTATATGTTTAATAGGATCCGTTTACGCTTGAGACCTCACTTGGCATACTTAGCATCCTATATTGATCTTTCATTTGAATAACTCACTACAAGGTGAGTTCATACCCCTACAATCAACCTTTTGCATGCCTTAAATGAT